AGGTCTGATGCATAGGCTCACTGACTATTGGCTCAGCATGGCGCCTGAGCTACCACCCGACTGACAAGGAGCCTGGTGATGAAAAGGAACAGAGAGAGAGATGCATGAGGTAAACAGAGTGGAGGGGGAGTAGGCCAGCAGATGTGAAGGGTTGTGTCTAGATGGAGAAGAGGGCGGGAGAGAGATTAGGCTCAGAAGTGCAACTGATAAGAATTTTGTAGCCCATGAAGGACTGCAAACCCCTGGTGGTTTGGACCTCTTCACCTCATTCTTTCTTAGTAGCTCCACTCAGAGGCCAGCCAAGCTGGACACCCCTCATTCTGAGATCAGTAACCCCAATTAGGTGACAGTTGTCCTCAAGAATGTGGGTTGATTAAAGAAAGGCCCTTGGCAGTGGCCCAGCTGAGAATGGAACGACTCCCCTCCTGCTCCCATGATCCTCAGGAGGCCACCACACCACCTCCTGGGAAGCCCATCTGTTGCCCCTGGTCCAGCCTGATCAGGCTGAGTTGCTCTTTTGCTTTGCCCAGAAGGAACTCCAGGTCCCAGTGCAGATCATTGTCCACTACCTTCCGGTTGTGTTTATGGGAGGGATCTCAGCTCTTCACGGTGAGTCTGGAAACAGGGTCGCTCTGGCATCAGTTCCCCATCTGCAAAGGAGAGCAACGAAGAACACTGTGGAGACGGTCTCTCAAGAACACCACAGGAACAGGCTTTAAATGGACCATTTATGGAGCTATAGCATGCATAGAGGAAAGACCATAGATGCCAAGAGAAGGATGTGATAAGCTCCCATAAAGTCAACGCATGCAACTAATTGCTACCCAGGCCAATACATAGCCAGGACCCATACCATGGAAGCTCCTAATAGCCTGTCCTAGTCATGACCTCCAACCTCCTTCCCAAACTATCTTCTGTTGCAACCTCTGACCCAGTGAGACACACCCCATGCTTCCAGCTGAACATATGCAGCCATGTCACACAAGGCGCCAAGTCTAAAGATACTATAGTTCTGACCTGCTGAGATCTCTTTTCTGGGGTTAAAGGCCCAAACAGATGTTTCTGGAGTACTTTGGGAATTTGTTAGGCAGCCTTCCAAATATTTTTAGCACGTATCTTAAGTCCCTGAGGGCTATAATATAGGATGGAGAGTCTGTCCAGGTCAGTAGCATCATGAATGAGAGCATCTTGCCTTCCACAGAGACCCTCAGATGCTGCCTGGGCCCATGCAGCACATCCTTTTGAGTCTGGATGTCCCTTAACTTGCTGCCTACATCTGCTTAGAGAGTCATATCTTCCATAGGCCTGGGCAATAGAAACTTAACAGTCTGGATAGGTCCAGGCTTTGACAAACTAGCCCTGGTATCAAACAGAAGATCTCCCACTGTGTGAATAGGGCCATTCTTGAGACGAAGGCAGTCTAAGGCTTGATGCTAACTCCTGGAGCTTGGCAGACTTAGAACATGCCTTATTTTTTGTTTGTTTGTTTGTTTTTGTTTTCTTTTTGAGACAGGGTTTTTCTGTGTAGCTTTGGAGACTGTCATGGAACTCGCTTTGTAGACCAGGTTGGCCTAGAACTCACAAAAATTGGCCTGCCTCTGCCTCCTGAGTCTTGGATCAAAGGTGTGTGCCACCACTGCTGGATCCAGAACACACTTACAAAATCCTGGCAGGCACTCATAAACAGCTTTCACAAAGCAACAGTCACTGATGGATCAGAAAAATTTTTCTCCAATTCAACCTTCATCTTCTACATTAGGCCCCCTGCCCCCGCCCCGTGAGAAGCAGACTGCAAATGACATTTATTTCTTGAAACCGGGGGATGAATTCCCTCAAAGGGATGTGTCTCAGAGGGTCAGTTTGCATGCCTCCTAAGATGCACACAGGCAGCACTCTGGGCTGTTCTCTCCAGATGGTTCTCTTGATTGGTTCCCCATGTGTCACAAGGTAGAAGTAACCCGTTGGAGGTGATCAGTAAAGGATTCTTCGGGTCAATGTCCCCCACGCAACCCTCCATCTGGGTTCACTCATTCTTCTCTGATCACAGCTGACTATATCAAGTCAAAGATCTTTAACTCAGCCTCACTTTAAAGCATATTAGGTAAAAAGTAAAAATAAACTAGAACTCCGTGTCCAGGGAATACAATGCACTACTAAGTAGTTTTTACTATATCCTCCGTTTTAAGATGAGGTAGCACTGTTGATGATACAACAATAGATTACACACACACACACACACACACACACACACACACATTAAATTATATAAGATCAAGCATTCCAATTCCTTCTCCAGGTCATCTTTCCTTTCTTTCCTCCCTCCCTTTCTTTCTAATCTATGAGATAAGAAAGACCAAAGGGCTGCTGAGATGGCTCAGGAGCCAATAGTCTTGCCTCACAAGACTGATGGCTCAAGTTTGAGCCCCAGTGCCTACGGTGAAAGAAAGAACTCATTCTGCAAATCATCCCATGGCTTCTACATAGGAGCTGTGGCACGCACCTCCCTGCACTCCCACTCACTACAGACAGCATCATAATAAGTAAAATTAAATTAAAAATAATTCCAGCACTCGGGAGGTAGAGGCAGGCAGATCTCTGTGAGTTTGAGGCCAACCTGGTATGCAGAGCAAGTTCCATGACAGATAGGACTACATGGAGAGACCCTGACTCAAAATAATAAAAACAATTATAATAATTATTATTTATAATAATAATTTTACTGCTGTTGTTGTTCAAGGAAGCACACAATTCTAGTACTTGGGAGTTTAAGGTAGAAAGCCTTAGTCTGAGACCAGTCTGGGCTACATAGTTCCAGACAAGCCTGGATTATTCTGTCTAAAAACAAACACACAAAGATCAAGGAAATATGTAGCTGAAACTCCAGAGACAATATCAATTTCTTTTTAGAAATTCCAAGTTTAATCTAAGCAAAGCATTCCGGGTGGTCCCAGGGGAAGAGGAAAAACTAGGAGAGAAAACCACTGCCCATCACAATTTTAGTTGACTCTGCTGCCAACTGTAGTTATCTACTAAGTTAATATTCCACTTACCCACCAGCAACCCCTGGAATCAGCAGCCCTGTGACTGGGATTTAGTCTCATTCTATTGATGGCAAATGAGACATTCAGAGAGAGTCAGCAATTGCCTCAAGTCACTCAGCCACTAAGAGAGATGCCCCCAAACCTGCGCCTTCTTGACTCTCCCTACACACTCAATCCCTGGGACCTTATAGAAGTGTGTCAGGGAGCTCCCTAGGCATTATAGACATCACAAATCTAAATTCCTGTATTTTCCAAAGATAAGACCATTTCAAACCCGACTGAAAATGGCCCAAACTGAAGACTCCAGCAAGATCATCCTGCCTATAGAAGCTTTAACTTCTAGAGAATGTCCAAACAGAAAGAAAATTGAAGACACTGCACCTAGGTCCCTTTCCTAAAACCAGTGTGGCCATTGCTCCCAGTAGAAGCAGGAAGAGTTCAGGGGCAGAGTAGAGCAAAAACCAAACCGACAAAAATGGAGCAGGCTCAGTCTGTGAGCACCTGTTTGGTCGCTCACTAAGAATAAGCACTGACGGCACGTCTAACATGAGGAGGCTTCGGGTTTCTGGATGCTACCTCTCTCTTCTAGAAAGCAACAGCCTCTAAGAGACAATGCTCCGTGTGTTCTTGGGGCACCAGGAGGCAGTGCTCTGAATCCTTCTTTGAACCGGTTTTGAGATTGCTTGCTGATTCAAGATGGGCTCACGTAGTCCTACTGGCCCTAAACTCTCTAGGTAGCTAAGTGTGGCCTCAAACTCTTAATGCTGTTGCTTTCACATTCTGAGTTCCTTGAATCTTAGGTTTGCACCACCAAGCCCAGCTCTAGTTTCTTTTAATTACCAAAAAAGAAATCAAGTTTTAGTATGTTGATTATATAAGAGGGACTTCTGACCTTCTTATTCAAGATCCAAGAGTCATGTCTGTTCTTTGAAATATCTGTGTGCAAAGAACAGATACCAGGGGAGTCATGACAAAAGTCTCAACAAGTATTAATTCGAAATAATAGCCGATAAGTGTACCATTTGAAATAAGAGCCGATGTTTATTAATTGAGGATTTTGAGTCCCACCCAGAGTTGTAGCATGAATAGAGTTAGCTACTGGTAATAGTTTTAGGATGATCTCTATATGTGAGCCCTGTTAGGTCTCAAACCCAAGAAACAGCTGAGGTACCATATTTAACATATCAAAGTGGACCTGGTTGCTAGGTTCTCCCTGCATCCCTCAGTCCCTCCCTGTTACAGGGCCTCCTTGCTGGCATACCTGCTGAAAAGTTTCTACACCCTAATAAACCTCTCCAGCAATGCAACAATCCAAATCAGACCACATCTAATGGATACAACCCTCCCAATGGCCTTCCAGTCCCCCAGAGAGGGGTATGAAGGAAGGGAAAACCAGGGGGCAGTTTAAATACCCTATGGGAGTGGTCTTGAGCATCTCTGTGGGAGGGGTCATCATTTGGAGGGCTTTCTGAAATGCAGCAGGGTTTGGAGGAAGATAAGGGAGGGGGCTTGGGTGGAACCTCCAGCATAACATCCCAGACTCTTTGGGTGTGTGGATGCCAGGGGCTGGAATGAAGCTTCCACCATAACACCAGCCCCCTACCCTGAATTCTCCAGCCCAGAGGCTGGGCTGCCCTTTCCCCTAGCTGTCCCTCCCTATATAATCCAGCCACTTTGGTTACCTGGCTCTTTCATCTACTCTCTTTTGGGCCTCCTGGATGATGCATCTGGTTCCCCTCTCTCCTCTCCCTTCCCCTTCTCCTCACTTGGCTCAGGGTCACGTTCACTCTGAACTCTCCCAGATGTCTCTGTCTCTGGTTATGTTCTCCCACATATCTATAACAACCTTCCTCCACCATATCTAAGAGCAGTCATGCCCTTCCCTTTTTATTTCTTTTTTCATTCATCTGATAACAAAACCCAGGACCAGTCATGTCCTTTCCTTTTTCTTTTTCTTTCTTTCAGGCGTGTCAGTAGGTTTTCACAATAGAAGCATCTTGAGATCATTTCTCGGCTGTAAGACATTTCAACAGCCCACAGCACAAGAGACGCCACAGCTATCCTGTCCACAGTAACTCCAGCTGGAAGGGGAGATGGGCAGCCGAAACACAAGCTTTCACCCCACTGACGTCTTTGACAGCTGAGAACAATGGAGTGAATGCTACCGAATGGGGCAGCCAGGGTTTGTGGTGTGCTTGTCCCAGGATAAAGGCCAAAGGCGAAAGAGAAGAGCTGTCAACGGTTGCATCTTTCTGGAGTTGGGGCCCCTGGGGAGAGATGTTTAATGCATTCCTGGGTTGCTGACGAATGTCCTTCCTGTTCTGGAGAAACAACGGAGGTGGAGGCATGCCCGGGACCTGGGTTCTGGGGCTTTTGCTCCCTGGTATGAAGGAAGGGAGATGGTTACCCAACCGCCCTCCCTGGAGACTACTACAGAAGAGGGGGTTTTGAAAGAGCCAGATTTCCCTCCTGACTTTTCCAGCAGCACTATGACAGTAACTCCACTGTCACCTGCTTCCAAGTGGCTCATTCCTAAACCACAGAACCTCTCCATCACTGGGCTCTTCCACAGACACTCTTCCTTAGAGGAACAAGCTACAAATTCCCAAGTGGATTAAAAATGAGATTCCTCTTCATTTCCCGCAAGACTGTTCATGATCCTTGCAAAACCCTCACATAGGACCCAATGAGAAAGGAGTCAGAGCCTCTGATTTGCTCCAGTATTAGTAATGACTGGGGTTTGGAGAAGAGTCATCATTGTCTGCCGTGTGTTTGGACAGGAGCCTAGCAAATTCCTGGGAGTTGGGAGAGCTCTGGGCTGCCTCTGTTTGGAGTTGCAGGTGGAAGTCTACATCTCTCCATCTGCCCCCCAGGCTAGTCATCACCATGCCAACTGACGCTGTGTGCGGGCCAGTGCATTGGCAACTTGGGCTTAAGGATGTGAGAGCAGATGGGAAGCCCATGCCCCCAACCCCCTCAGATAGAGACATGAGCAGGGTTGCTGGAACGGAGAAATAGAGCCAGAAAGATTTGGAGTGGGTGGCAGTGCCCAACTCTTTCTAGAGCAGGCTGAGTCTGCAGCTCTCACTCATGACTCTCCAAAATTGTCCTATGCTGGGCAAGTCAAGATGTTGGAGCTGCCATGGGCATCCTGTGGCTGGAAGACCCAAAGCCAGAAAAGGCAGGAAAGTAGTAAGATAACACCTGATTTAAGGCCAGGGTATGGAGAGGGGAGGAGAAAGGAGAGAGGAGAGAGGAGAGAGAGAAGAGAGAGAGGAGAGATAGGACAGAGAGAGGGAGAGAAGGGAGAGAGGGAAAGAGAGGGAGAGGGAGGGAGAGAGAGAAGAGGGATAGAGAGGGAAAGAGAGACTGAGATTATTTCTGGGCACCTCTTGTTCCATGAGAACTTATCTATGTACTCTGGGTGATGGTAAGTATGCATTTTTACTGGATAGCAGTTAAAAATCAGGAAAATATTGTCCTGGAGGACCCCTTTCAATTGATTTGTTTTCATTTGCCTACAGCTTCCTCCATCTGAACATAAACAAAAACAGTCCCAGATCCTAAAAGATGGATGAATTAACCTTTCAGAACCTTATTTCTTAAAAATGTCTACTAGAGGAACTAAGTGAAAAGATGGTCTGGCCTCTTCTGCTTCCATGACCTTGTGGCTCTGAGGCTCTCGGGCATCTTTCTTCCGGCATCTGTTGAGTGAGAGGTTTGCTGTCAGTCTTCCCATGCCCGTAACAATAAGATACTACGGAGTGAGAAAGGGACCTAAAGAGGGAGAAAGCAAACAGTCAGAGAGCAGGGCTCCATTGAGAGCTTAAGGGGCACTCTTTCATCAGGAAACCCTCTGTCCCAAGCGCAGGGTCTGTGGGAACCTCAAAGAGACAAAATGATCCACTTTCGTTCTGACATCTTGGCCAGGGCTCAGAGAGGGCCAGAAAATCTCAGGGACATTGCCCAGGATGCAGAAAAGGGGGTTCAAGGGCTGAGGACAGGCCACATCTGCCCAAGTCTCCCATAGGCACCCAGGGCCTGGTAGAGATGCCCAGAGACCAGACTTTGCCTTATGGAATGACAAGGTTGCCTCTGGGCCTGGAGTCTTTGGCAGAGTGTGCACCTGGCAGGAATCTTTTGTTACTATGCAATGACTGAGTTACAGAGCTCTACTGTGGTGTCTTGTGCGTGTGGAGAAATGCATAGATATTCCCTGGCAAAACTGACCGGAGACAAACACTGAGAAGAGGCAATCTGACCAAATGACCAATACCACCCTTCCTGGGGACAGCAGGGAATTCAAGAAATGTTATCTTTAGAGAAAAGAAAAGGGAAATGCATGCCTTATATATGCATATATGCAGAGGTTCCTGCGTCAGCCAAAAGGAGTTTGGTTTTTCAAGACGGTTTCTTTCTCTGTGTAGCCCTGCTGTCCTGGAATTTACCCTGAAGACCACGCTGACCTAGAACTCACAGAGATCCACCTACCTCTGCCCACCCCAGTGCTGGGATTAAAAGTGTGTGTCACCTCCACCCAGCCAGTCTAGAGGGGTTTAAAGCTATTGGCTCTGAAATAGAGTTCCAGAGACCATTGCCTCCGCTCAGGTCTTCCTGGAAAGGGAGTATAAGAAAGTAACCTCTCTCTATTCCAGGACCTAACCCAGGGAGATGTGGAATCAGGAGACTATAAGAGGTTCTAGAAGAACATGAGAAGAAAGAAATATTGCTTTTGTTACTGTTATAAAATGACTGTGCTGGGAATAAAGCTTGGGTGAATAAAATTCTTGTTCAGTATAAATGTAAAATGTCTTATTATAAGGTAACAAACCACATGACAGAGTAATGCCAATTATGGTGGGTCACTGTCGCCTGGAGATGGTGGCAAAGGTTCGATGGGATACACAGAACTATGAAGGAGAGCAGAGTCTGGAGGGCCAAATGAGGTCCAGGAATCAGAGGAGGATGAAAAGGACATACTAGGCATATGATAAGGGAACCAATCATAGTGTGTTAAACACAGTGGTGACATCTATAACCTTGCAAAATTTGCCAAATCTAGAACCTCTGAGTTCTTCCTGGCTAGTTTTTTTAAAACTGTGATTCGATAGGTGAAAAGTACATGGGATTGTTTAAGGGGCAGCATGAAACAAAGGAGGTTGTTCAGAGAGAATACTAGGTAGGGTTCAAATGATGCTGTCATTCCCCAGCTGTAAGATGTCAGCACGTTTTGCTACTCTGTCTAAAAAGGTTGACATGAAGATAGGTTAAAACATTCCAGAGAATTCTTTTGTTGTTGTTACTGCTGTTTGTTTTTCAAGACAGGGTTTATCTGTATAGCCCTGGCTGTCCTAGAACTCCATCTGTAGCACAGGGTGGCCTTGAACTCACAGAGATCTACCTGCCTCTGCCATCCCAGGGCTGGGATTAAAGGCATGTGCCACCACTACCAGGCTCCAGAGAGTTCTTTTCATACAACACGTTAGATATGTTAACTTCCAGCCTAGCCGATCACTAAGGAGTATGTAAGCACACATCCCCCATCACCTCTTCCAGAACCTCAGCACTTCTCACTGCCCAAAGGTATTGGCTGTTGAGAGTCCCTCTTCTGCTTTTCTTCCTGTGAGGGTCAGCCTTCCCATGATGCCCTGGAAAGTGATCCTTTCATTTAGAGTAGAGAATCCCTCCACTCGACAGGTGGGACTTCCAAAGGAGGCTTCCATCCATTTGACATAGATTGTCCATCCCAAATTCACACAATGTGTGCCTTCACTTCATCTTGGCTCAAGGTCAGAGAATTGAAAACTGTTCTTAACTATTCTCCCTCTCCCAAGGTTAAAGTCATAAGACCTAAAAGCCTAAGGTGTGGCCAGTGTAGGATGTTTGGTCTTGGTTGTGGATGTCTTATCTAAATAACAAGAGACTTGGTCTGAGGTATGGTTACTCTTTTTTTGTTTGTTTGTTTGTTTTCGAGACAGGGTTTCTCTGTATTGTCTTGGAGGCTGTCCTGGACTCACAGAGATCCACCTGCCTCTGCCTCCCGAGTGCTGGGATTAAAGGCATGCTCCACCAATGCCCAGCTGAGGTATGGTTGCTCTTAACCCTCAGATAATGGAAGATTTAGTATAAGACATGTTTACCAAATGTTTGGAGAATTAAGGAAGAAGGTCTGTTTCTTCTTTGTATCTTGATAAAGAAGTCTTTTTGCCATGCTCCCTTTTTGATTGGAGTGTTTAAGAATGTTGAAGAATAACTTGGGGTTTCCAGTATTCACTGGATTGCCCTTCTGACTCTATTCTGTGTCTCTGTCTTTTCTTAGTATCTTTACCTGCCATTTCTCAATGCACACCACCCCCCTCTCAGGTACAAACTGGTCAAGTCGGCTAAATCCGACTAAAACCCCACAAAGCCGGGTTACAACACATCCCCCGATTCACACAATGTGTATTTCCCACTTTCTGGAATTCTAAAGCCTTTCCGTTCCCACGACAGTCCCTTCATGAGCTGCTTCACGGCCTGCCCTCAGAGAGTCCCACTGTCTGGAAGCTCTCCCTTCTGTCCAGGCTCTGTTGGTTTCTTAGGGTCAGTCATCAGAAGCTCAAAGGGGCTGGATTTCTCCCGCTCTAACGCACTGTTTGAGGAATGGTTCTTGCATGTCATTAACCATCTGGGCCCCTGTGGGCAAATCACTAGTCTTCGTCCTCCCTAAGCCTCGGCTCCCCAGCTCCCTGTCCCCTTCCTGACTAAAGGACGTCACCAACTGTCATCGTGGGTATCTGTATTCTAGAACACTCTTACGTTTGTTTATTCAGACATACTCCTACTCAGAGGGAGCCCTATCGACCCTATCTCTTCCAACATCTGGTGCGGTGCGGAGTATGTGGTGGTATGGCAGGGAGTAATTTTTATCCACAGTTTTCTACAGTGAGTTCTCAGCCATCCACAGTTCCAGTTCTAGGGGTGTACCTGTTTCGTTTCTTCACACCAGAGTCTCACTGGCAAGGGAGGATCTGGGGGCGGGGGTTGCAGAGACCCCAGAAGCTAAGGCAAAGCTAGCTTGACTGCGATCGCAGTTAGCCAGGAACGTGCCCCCTCGGTGTTGTTAAGCGGAACGCCGGATAGGAGAGAGCTCGCTCCACTCCACTTGGGTCACCCTGTGCTTGTCCTAACCGGTGGCATCCGGCTTTGCGCCCTGCATCAGAAACTGGCCGGCGGTTTCCCAACGGCGCACGGAGACTGGCTTCCTCACAGCACGCCGCGGGCGTCGGGGTCCCGGGTCAGCTCAGGTGCGGGTGACGCACCTGGCAGAGGCGTCTGCAGCAGGCTGGGTAGAACCACGGCGGCGGGGCGGGGGTGGGGTGGCGAATACATCACGGATCACCGCAGGCAGAAACGTGGATCTGCACGCACGAAATCATGAAAGACCGCCCCACGGAGGGCAGAAGCCTGCGCCTCACTGTGACCGGAGGTCGTGGATCCTTTCACCAGGCAGGGTCTCCTAGGCGACAGTGCAGTGGTTGATTCCAAGTCAAGAAGGTTTCAGGGCAGGAGAGGACTGGACCTGGTGGGCGTGGCTAAGGAACAGGGCGGTCCGGGGCGGGGCGTTGAGAGGCGGGGCCAGGTGCTGAGTCGTCTCTGCTTGTCAAAAGGCAGCTGCCGAACCCCCAAACTTCGGGAGCGCCAGGCAGCGTGTCCACCTGCGGAACCAGGTGAGGATCGGGGAGCAGCGGGAACTGAATTACGGGTGAGGGGTTAGACCCAGGGGCGGGCGTGCGGGGTCTAGAGGTCTTAGTGCCCGGGGTCAAGAACTAGAGACCAAGTCTCGGTAGGAAAGTTGGCGACTGAGATCCGGACTGTGTGGTGCCATGAGGTTGGGACTCTGAGAGGGTACCCAGGTCTGAGAAACCTGAAGTTCGTGCGAGGTTGGCGAGGGGGCATCCACGTCCGCGATGCTCGGGCGACTCAGCGCAGGAGTCCTTCGCTAGGACAGGTCAACTCATCCGGCAACAAGCGTTTGTTTCCTTCCTCGGACCGGCGCTCTGGTGTGGAATGGAGGAGTAAGAAAGGGAGTGATTGGCTGTGGATGTAGCTAAGGTCTCTGGGGGGTGGAGTGTGTGTAGCCTGTTTATTACCTGTAGGGCCCATGTGTGATCACCTGTGATGGTGGAGTAGAGTCTTTTAAATGGAGTTTTCTTTTGTTGACTTTTGAAAGCAGCTGGTGCTTTGAGACTTAGTGTACTGGATTTCTTTGTCAGAAGAGCCTGTCCACAGACGTCCAGAGGGACTCAGGAGCCAGCATGGAAATTGAGGAAGGGGTTTTAAGAAATAGTTTCTGTTTGGAGATTCGGAGGGGGTATTTGGAAGGGAACTGCATGTGATACAGGTCCACCGTGGTCACTACCACTGTCACCCACCTGAGGCTGCCTGCCTGTGCTGGGGGAGCCTTGCTTCTCTGAACCTAGGCCACACTCCTCTTCCTCCTCCTGCTCCTCCTCCTCCTCCAGCTCCTCCTTGTGGTGAGTGAGTCAGCCTCCTGTCTGGGCTCAGTAGCAGCAGAGGGGCCAGAGCCCAGGCAAGCAGTTGGGCAGGCATTTTCTGAGCATTGCAGAAGTTCCCTTGGACAGAGTTCAGCTCTGCCCCAGTGCCCTGGGGAAGGCCATCTTCTTCATGGACACGGGAGGGTGGGGGTCAGCAGTGGTTGTTGGATGGCCATGGGATGATTCCAGATGACCAGGAAGAGACTTTGATTGTTCTCTGGAATTGGAGGTACATCCCAGTTCTGTGGGCTTACCAGCTCCTGGCTCCACTTCTACTGTGTTATAGAGCCATTTTGCCTAGGAGCAGAAAAGGCAAGCAAAGCTTTTCCCAGGCTAGGGAGTAAGAGTGGATTCTGAGAGGCAGGGGAGGAGGTTGTCAGGACCTAGGTCCTCAACTCTGTGAGCTAGGGTTATTTTACATTTGGGGACCTATGTAAAATTCCTTTCCCAGCTGAACACTGGAGAGAACTGTGTGGATCTCTGTGGAACACTTTTCAGTACTGGCATGCAGCCAGAAAAGGAGGTAGTAAGAGTGAAAGCCTCTGCTGGTTTTGTTTTGGATACTAGAGACCCTTGAGCAAGAAATGGGTAGCCTGGGCCGCCATGCAAGTAGCCCAGTAGCTGCTTCTAGCTTGTTTGGGAAGAACCTAGGGAGGTCAACACAGTGACATTGCCTCAAACTGCAGAGAGGTAGCAATCCGCGTTCTGTGCTCTGGCTTTAGGTTTGGCTGTTCCTGAGCAGCTAGGACTTGGTTCCTGACCAAGACGGAGGAGGGACTGGAAAGGAGAGAAAAGAAGAGAGCCAGACAGCCCAGCTGACCCCTTATGCTTCCCCAGATACGATCTTAAGACTGTATATTCTGGAGGTCCCGGCTGTGCCTGTGTTTCAGGATGCTCTGCTTGTCTGTAATGTGGTTTCTCATCTCCCTCCCCTGTCCACTATGAACTGATGGTCTCTTTGAGGGACCCAGCCCCTCTGAAAGGCCTCAAAGACCCCCTTGGCCTCTGCCTTCAGCACAGAGTTCAGGTATCCAAAGCCTAAGCCTTCAATAAAGGAAGGCCTAGGGCAGTGGTTCCCAACTTTCCTAATGCTGCGACCCTTTAAGACAGTTCCTCATGTTCCAGTGATTCCAACCATAAAATAATTTCATTGCGACTTCATTACTGTTATGAATTGTAGTTTAAATATCTGATATGCAGAATGCCCGATATGTGACCCCTGTGGAGGTCATGACCCATAGGTTGAGAACCACTGGCCTAAGGTCTGGTGGGCTAGACCAAAAAGTTACCCAAAACAGGAGAAGTCTATTGTTCAGTTTTTTTTATCCTACATCCCAGGAATTGGCTGCAATCAACATCTGTCTATGCAGAACGGCAAGGCCAGGGTACCTGGGTCACATTCTGATTTGTAGCTGGATGGTGGATTAGAGGGCTCAAGCTTCTGCTTGTCACTGCTATGATGTTTGGGATGCAGGTAGAGGGAATAAGGACACAACCAGATTTGATTAAGAGCCTCCCGTGTGTCCCAGAATGGTGCCAGGCTGCCAAGGGATGTCAGCAAGCAGATCCCAGCAGACCAAGCTTCTGCCTCCAAAGAGAGCTCCGTGAGGAACATCATCCTTGGCACTCTCTCCTCTGCTGTCCTGTCGAAGGCTCTGATGGCTGAAGCCAGTCTGGCAGCTGCTCTAGACCACCAGGACCTCACTTCTAGCTGTTGCTCTCTGATCTGTCCTTAACCTTCCTTAGTGACTGTATGATCTACTATCCAAACTGGGGTGCTCATGAGTTAAAGGGGGTTTTGTGCATGGCCATACAAAGACATAAACCCAAACCCGGGTGAACTGGACATCTACTCATCCAAACCCAGGAGAGGTCACATAGAATGATTAAGGGACAAGGCAGGTGGGAGACACATAAGGCTGAGGTGAGGGTGGAGCCACATAATTCTCAGGGTAGCCCTAGTCGGTCATTTCCAGAACCTTCCTTAAAGGTACAATTGCTCCTGGCCACTCTGACCCAAGACCCAGCCCACCACCAAAGTGACATTCTTTCATCCCTCACTTGTGACTGACCTTGCCTTTGGATTTTCCTGTGCCACCCCTAGCTCAGACAGGGACACAAAGGCCTGTGAACTCCTCTTCAGCTTCCCCAGGGGAGCTGGGGTATAGTGAAGCCAAGACTCAACCTTGCACTTCCTTTTGCCCCCTTCCTATAGACTCTTTCATTTGTCCTCCCAGCTCCCCAGACCTCTGGGGACTCAAATCCCACAAAGAAGTTCCACTCTAAAGTGAATACACAGCCAGGAAGGGAAGGGCAGTCAAACCTTGTCCACGTTGATAACGGGCACAGGTCCCTTGGACCCAAGATCCAGGGAAATGGCAACCAAGATAGGAAGCAGAGTCCCGGGGAAGCTGCTGAGCAGGGCATGGAACTGATGTCCTTGGATGTAAGCACTTGAGTCTCTCATCTCTGGCTGTTGGACAAATGGTCCAGGGTGGGGACAGACACCTCTTGCTCAACCTAAGCTATAGGCGTTGGTGGCAGCGACAGCATCCTGTGGTAGTGACATGTGGAAGAGAAACTGCCCTCCCTTTTGAGTCCTGGGCCCTTGTGGTCCAGATACTCCAGGCAGCCTCTCTGGAGAGTCCGCAGAGGCTGAGTGTTGGAGTGATTCGGGCGTAGCACATGGAGTGGAGGAGCCTCCATGACCGTGGAGTGACTGTCTACTCTGGCAAGCAGGAAACCATTCTGTCTCATTACCATAAATGAAGAGTGAGTGAGACCTCTTTGGAAATCTCACCTGCTTGTGTGTAGGGTGGTGGCAGGGAGACCTCCCCCCAGGCTGGCTATGTGTGGGGGGTAAGACCTCCCCCAAGGCTGGCTGGGGGAGGACAGGGTGGCTAGTGGGCGCATGGCAGAGGCTAGAGGCAGAAGCAGAGGGTGAAAGGCTGAGTGTGTGTCGTGCTTCTACAAACCTGCCCTGCAGGTCTCATGCCAAAAGAATAGACTAAGTAGTGTTCCCAGAACCAGATGCCACACAAAGTCCTCATTCTACACAGGGGAGAGTCCTGGTCCTTGGCAGGGTGTGAGCAGCTGTACCAGCGGGAAAGTGGAGTTTGGGCAGGACTCAGTACCAGTTCCTGGGAAGCTACCGCCTCTCACTGGCCTTCTGATGCCGAGCCGAAGCTTCGAGGTGTTCTGCATGGTGTGACATTCCAGGCACTGTGAAGCTGTCAAGCCTTTGCTGGTGACAGGTCTAGTGTGTGTGCCACCTGCTGGTACTGAGGCCATAACTCCAGGAACAGTGACACAGTGAGCACTAGATACCAAATGCTGTTCTGTGGCCTTAAAAACAGTTTCCTGGCCCTGCTACTCTACCTTGCGAAGAAGGAATGACTCCTGTGCCCTCTCTGGAGATGGGAAAACTGAAGCTTGGTGAAGCTGCAGCGTGCAAAGGAGAATCAGGACTGATACCTAAGTCTGTAGGATGCTGAAACCACACCAGGAAGCCCCGGGAGTCCTACACCTCTGCATCCCCAGGGCAGTTGCAGACACTTAGTGCTGTGACTGGCATGTTATAGGCACATAATAAATGTTTGTGAGTTGTAGGGTTAGGTTTACTAACTAGTTTGAACAGGCTGACCTGAGGTTGCTCTGGGGATGGTAGTGTCTCAAAAGGCTCCTTTAAACTTCGACGCCTCTGTTGTGGTCTTAGATACACACCATGTTTCAGAGGCATCAAAGAACCTGAGAAATGCAAGGTTATTCAGAAGTTGCACAGAATCCAGCAAGACTTGGATGGCCTGGAACACAATGAAATGAGAAGTCATCTTTCAATTTAAATCACATCACCGTGGCATACTAAGTGAGCCAGTTCAAGGCCACTGTCCCATCAGCCCATCTGAGGTCTTCTTTAGTTACCTCCACCCTGTCCCGGTCACTCATTTTAGACTCCTGACCCCAGCTCTCTTACCTGGAGAAACGGACTCTAGCCTGTTCTGACGGCCTCCAGGCAGGCCCTGGGCTGAGCGCCTGAACCTTTTCATTTACATGCTTCCCCTGGTGTTAACATGCTATGATGTCCCCTGGCATGTGGTTAGAGGGTTCGTGGTTGTGTGAACAGCTGCAAAGAGCAGAAGAAACAGAGCCAGAGTTTCTGGCTTTGACCTTTCTAGTTGGTGAGCTTGGGCAAATTTCTTAATCCCTCCAAATTCCTGCGCAAAATCAAGTGCCTGGCGCAGAGCGGGCTCTCGTGCCATTCCGCGGACATGGGCTGAGACACCGGGAATGTAACGGCAAATAGAAAGATGACCATGGTCGTTTCCGAATTGATAGCACAGAAACCCAGACACTGTAGAAGATTCTGTGGGATCTCAGCAATGGCTGTCCTAGTACCTGGCTAGACGCAGATTTGGTAAACTGACTTCGAGAGAATTCTGCCATGTGCTAGACAAGGGAGCTGGGAGCACTGCTGAGTGTGATTCTGAGGGAGCACTCTGTGATTCAGGCTCTTCAGCTGCTTTTCTGGTTTGTTTGTTTTTTTAATTGAGAAGTAACATATCATACAAGACTATATAATATTCTTACAGACATTATGCAACCATGCTAACCACCTAAGTTAGGAGCAGAGCATTTATAGTAACTAATTAAACTTTTTAAAGTATATGAGTGTCTGGGCTGACAAGAAGGCTCAGTGGGTAAAGGCACTTACTGTCAGGACTGACAATCTGAGTTCAGTCCCCAGAACCCACATGGTAGTAGGGGAGAATTGATTCCTACAAGCTGTTCTGACACCCACATCCATATTGTGGTGCATGCACACATGAACACACACATGCACACATAGTAAGTAATAAATGTAAAAACTTTTTAATGTGTGCACATGCATGAGGGTGTGTGTCTGTGTATGTCTGTGTAGGCAGGCATGTAGGCCAAAAGACAACCTAAGTGTTGCCCTCTGGAGCACTGTCCAACTCTCATTGGCTGGAGCGCATCAATTAGGCTAGAGTGGACAGTGAGCCTTGCAACTCCTGGTTTGGGATTACAAATTCCCTGCCACTCGAGGATCAAACTGAGGTCCTCCTGCTTTGGGGGGCAAGCAATCTGCTCTCTGTGCCTTCTCTCCAAACCATATGATCTCTTGACCACCCTTGACCTAACTGTTTACCAGCATCCCTCTCGTTTCCCAGTGCAAGGGAAATTTGGGCTTGTTATTCCTTGGTTTTCTTTATAAGTTATCATCTAAGTGTGTTTTGAAACACTGTATGGTACAGGGTTACATGACCTTGAGGTTTTCACACACCACTCTCTGTCACATGCTCTTTAACTGGAGCTGTGTTTATGAGGCTCTCCCACACTGACACACATGAGTGTTCCAATGTGAAAACGCCACATGTCATACGTCCTCCCTCTTGTGGTAAGTCCTCTGGCTTTTTTCCAGTTTGGGGCTACTATGAAATGGTGATATGCTTGCTTCCTAGTTCATCTAGGAATGACGTTGCTGGTACACACAGAACTCTATGTTTGCCTGGAAGGTCCCATTCTTCCTCAGGGTTTTCAACAGTCAGTATCGACTTCATCTCTAAAAACTACAGAGTTGTGCTAAACAACTTTCCACAGCTCCTTTTAGCTACTGTGGTTATTGTCATAGCCCAGGGACCTGGTTTCTGGCTGATGGGTGTGCTAGTCTGAGGCACTGTGGACAGATGGACCCTGATTCTGTAACGTCTGTGCCCGACCTCTGGATGTGGTTGAAGCTTTATCTTTCTGGCCTTCCTCCAGCACTGAATGAGGGACCCACGTCTACAAGCTTGCCAGAATTTCACAACTCTTCACTTCTCCCCAGAGCATGATGTTAGCACTGAGCAGATATGCTTAGATGCTCAATTAACACCTGCTGGGTTGCATTTTTGTCAAGTGGCTCGGGAGAAGTACATGTTCTCCTTGGACTTACATTTTTAGAAAAGGATTGAGACCATGTGAGCTATAAGCATTAGTTAATCACAGCACTGAGGCTGGGGCTTTGAT